ATGAATAGAAACTTGATGGCAGACGCTGCTGCTGCAGAAGTCCAGTGCTAAGCAGGAATTTTAAATCCCATTTTCATGTAGCTGACCCAATAACTGGAGAAGTGGAGCACAGATCTTAGCAACAAAATGTGGCACATGGAGGATCTGCGGGTGCCGTGTCCCCAGCCAGTACAGTAAACATTGAAAATTGACATTGAAAATGCCTGTTCACAGTTAAGTAATAAATGGCCAACCAACCTCCTCCTGCCTGAACAGCTCCTTGGGACAACACCCGTCTTCCTCTTGCTGCTTTTCTTTCTCCCAAAATGCAGTACTGTAAACCAGTTTGCATCCCACAGGATGGGAAATTACCTGTTCAGAAGAAATCCTCACTGTCTGGCTTGTTCAGCTGACTCCCCTCTGTTTTCAGAAGAATACAAGTAGGAAGGAAAAGGAGGGTGAAGTTGGTGCGGGTGCCATGGAGGGATCCCGCACCGAGAGCCAGGTCTCGCTGTGCAAAGGAGGAAGTGGCTGAAGCACGGTTATTTATTACAGGACTTTGCTCCCAGTTCGGTGCATATGTCATTTCCAAGCCAGGCATTCCAGTAAGCAAGGAAGCCAATTCCTGCCCGGGTGAACCTTCAACTTCAATCTCCCCACTGTATCTGAATCCTTACAGGCTTCTGATAAGCGCTCCCAAAAGGAAACCCTTAAGCACATCATCTTACACTGCTCCAACACCACTAACTTCCCTGTGGTTCTCTCTGCGTGACCCTGTTAGATAAGACAAAAATCGGAGCCTTGCTCCTCTTGGTTTTGCACAGATGTCTCTGCAGGGTCTTAAAATGCACATCCATGTGTGGCCTGTGGGAACTGTGCTCCACAGCACCTAGAGCTCCGGGCAAAATAAACTCATTGCATTCAACTGAAGGCAGCCCTCACACAACCATCTAAAGGGACTGGGCCTCCTAGGCCATTTGTTTAAAACTTCCTGGTTTTGTTAGCTCAAATTATTTCCTAACAAACACTGTCCCTGTGTTCTGCCATCTAGGTGCGTGTTAGCTCCCTGTACCATGAAGGTGGCTAAGAGCCTCCTCTTCTTTGGTTACGCTGAGTTTATTATCAGCAATCCTGGGAAAGAAACAAAGCTGCAGGATACCTGTAGTGAGGCAGATACAAGGTTTCTCCAGCCAGAACAAGAACCCAAGAGTTAGGGACATTTTGTCCTCTAATTGGCAGCAAAAACATACGGGATAAGTGGTGTTTTTTTTTTTTTTCCTATCTACCTTAATCTAAATGTACAACCTTTCTTTATGTGTTTCGCATCAGATATCCTACAGAGCAAGAAGCTTGCCTCACTAGGTACTATTCTGTATGCCCACTATTAAGCATTTAAAAGAAAATGCACAACAATTATGAGCATGTTCCTATATATCTAATATCTTAATTCTTATTTTCTTATTCCTAGATTCCTTTTAGCTGCATTATAAAATGGGAATGATAACAAAAGCCTTGGTGTCTGAGGCACAGATTCCGGGGGCTCCTCCTGTAGTTTCATACCCAGTCAGAGGTAGGAATTCAAACCTATGCTGTTTATTCACTTTGCATATTTATGTTTTAATATTATCCTCCTTACCTGAGATCTTTGTTTAAATTTAATAGCAGAGAGGAATATATTAGTGCAGAAAGAGATATACATAAAATCACCAGGCAGAAAATGTCCTAACTGTGCAAATCATTCTTTCTCAAGGACTTTGCCTCAAACTAGTTCTTTAACAGACTTTTATTTTTGATACAACGATTTTTAGAAGAAGCTTCTATTGTTGCATGTATTTAACAAATTCTTCTTGAATGGCATTGATTTTATTAGATGCGGGTCAAATATCTGCAAATAAATCGAAGTATATACCGTCACACCATCACAGCAGTCTAAAACCAAAGCTTTTTGTGTAGTCAGACTGCAGGGAAAAAAAGTACAATAAATATAAATAAATGAAACATACCTGCTGAAATTCCATAGGGAGTTTGTTTTGGGCAAAAAATCACCTAAAACAACAGACTGCAGGGAAAAAAAGTACCATAAATATAAACAAATGAAACATACCTGCTGAAATTCCATAGGGAGTTTGTTTTGGGCAAAAAATCACCTAAAACAATGAACGTTTTTAACTCATGACTGAGGCGCAGTGGGAGTGTTATTTCAGAGGGATACAGTATTTCTGTATTAACTCACATATAAACAGAGGGTATGAAAACATCTGCAAACCAGTGTAATCTGGGATGTGGGTTTCCACATCTGGACATGCTCAAGAGCCAGAAAGGAAGGGCTGAGGGCGCCAAGACTGAACAGCCCGAGCAGGAGCCTAGGTGCTCTGTAAAGCAGCCGTTCCTGGTAAAAGAGGAGCAGGCTGCTTGCTGAGGGCTGCTCCAGCAGCAGGGCCTGCGCCGAGCGGGAGCTGGGCTTGGGGAAGCCGCCGAGCTGCGGGGAAAGGCAGCAGGAGGCAGCAACGCCGCTCCTGCAGCTGGAGCTTGGCACAGGGCTCTGCAGGGCACAGACACGCTCCTAGTTGTAATTAGGGGCAATAAGGCACTGGAGTAATTTGTATTAAGGTCTACGCTGATGGATAAGGCCATAAGGCACGCGGCAAAATAAAATCATGTAATCCCAAGTGAATTTAATCCTGTCGCGGAGGAGAGTGGTAGGTCTGTCAGGACAGACGTGTTAACAAAACTGCCTCTTCCTGACAGCTTCCTAATTAAGAGATTGGTGTCAGGATCAAAGGGTTTAATTAGCACGTGGTACTACCTCGGCTGTTTCCTCCCCAGATAATTCAGAGCGGCCGTGTCATTTCCGCATCCCTGAGTGCCAGCGCTAGCTGCCACGCACACGTTTATGTTAAAAAAAACCTTTTTTCTGAGGTTTCTGAATGGAGGTGGGTTAGATACAACAAGCTGCAATTTACACAGTTGATTCAGAAGCTCTCTGGTCTGCAACCACCTCTGATGGAGCTCTCCCCTCCCCTAAGCAGCTTTGTCGCCCTACGTCACTGCAGTCTGTCACCTGGAAAAGGCGCCCTCCGGGGAACAAAGCAAACGGAGTAAGAAGTACATACCGGCAGAGGAACTTCAGGTGCATCCCCTGGTTGTCCCCTGGAGCACTGCGTCCCTCATCATTTCACTCCAGCGCGCGCCCGGTGCTGCACAGAGAGGCCGCGCGCTGGGGCTGGGGGATCTGTGTCATCCCACGGAGGCACCGCGGGGCCGCTGGCTCTGCCCGCGGGCAGGCGGGTCATTCTCCCCGCTGCGCAATCCCATTACGGCCGGAGTGTCACGGCATCCTTCCTGCTGGGCCGCGGCCAAGAGGGTATTAGCGGAGCGTGTGGCGGGCCAGGGAGCCCACGCTGTGCCCCGCGGGGACCAGACGCTCCCGTGCGCGCGAGCGGGCCCTTGGCGCTGTGCGCCGTTATTCAGCACTGCTGCCAGAAGGCGCCAGGGTGCACCTTCTCGTGGCCATCTCTCCTCCCAGAACCATGGGAATTGATAGCTTTTAGGGAGGAAATTCTCCCTCTCCTTCTGCTTTCAGGAAACATCAAGGCTTCCCTTGGTCTCTGCAGCCTCAGTGTGGAGTGAAGGCTTGAGATCATTGCAGGACATAGCACATATTTACAACAATTTCCAGGGACAGCTACCATCGCACTCTGATCCCGCTTGAATCCTACTTCTGGTCCATAAAAGGCCTCCATATTTTCCAGGAACCTTGGTACAGTTTCCAGGTACCTTGGTATGTATTCAGTCCCTCTTTTTCTTGTTTCTGTGTGTTTCCCCTTGTCCCTTATTTTCTGTTGTGTTACATTACTACTTTCTAGGGAAGAAGCAGGAGAAAAGAGGACATGATACCATTAAGAATGCATTTCTGAGAGAGATAAGGGACCTTTTCGGCTATGTGTTTTCTGGAAAAGAGCTATAGAGCTGCAAACAAGACTCATTCCCTTTATGTTTTATGTATGCTGCTTTCAGGAAAAAAAAAATCTACATTTTTGCTAAGAAAATGCAATTGCCTCAGGGAAGCGTCTGACTCCACTACCAACTTTTCCCATGTGAAATATAATTAAAGCATCTAAGACTTTGCGTAATGGCTTAAGTCACAGAATACATACTCAATATATGTTCGCCTGTGTTTATGTGGCAGTGGTACAAGCACACCATGCATTGCAGCATGAGTGCGGCTGTGGTGGAAGGTTAATAGTAGCTTAACTCCCTCCCAAGACAAGGCACCTTCCGTGTGTTCCCCCCCAAAGCAAGCAAGCAGAGTATTTCAAGACTACTTTTTCATTCATTTTGAGGGCCAGATTGGGCAAAGAAGTTTGCATACAAACTGAACTGCAGCTTTGAATGTGTTTTGCCCTTCTACCTTCCTCCGAAGTTACTTCTCACCCACTGAATTGACATGGAGCACAGAAAATCCATTATGTGAATGGCAAAATGTTTATTATTCCAACCATTTTTCATCTCCCGTCCTTGTTTGAGAAAGACTTAGCAAGTGTTGCTGGCACTGAGGGGAGAAGCAGGGTAACCACATGGCACCGGGCAGCCTGTTGAAACACTGATGTGTCGTTTTGGGTTTTAGTCTCTGGGAAGTTTCCCCACGTTTCTCCCCACACATCGTCTTTGTCCAACTGACACCGTCACCAACGGCC